TCCGAAGCTGCTCTGTGGCCACGAACCCCTGTAAATCGTGGGGTATGAGACACTTCGAACATGTTGAACGCCAAAAAAAGCTCAAAATTTGGCCCTGGCACTTCTAGCATACGAAACGATAATTGCAATGCAGAAGTGCTGGCCCTGCCAACACTTTCAAGCTCCTCCTTCTTTACCGCCCTCAAAGGGACGGGTCGTCAAATATGCGCGGCAACTTTGCTAGGCATAAGGCAAGCTCACCACCCACTAGGGGGCACACTGCCTGCTGTCAAGTGCTATCCTCGTCTGTCTTGGACCGCTAAGTGCCCGAATTGACTATCAAGCTGCGCAGCTCTTCGATTCAGCTTGCATCGAGGCCTGCTGCTGGCTCTGGGCTGCAACGAGCGAGGTGATGCTGGTTTGGAGTCCACAACCATGATGCTTTTTAGTGGGGTGCTGGGGGTATTGACATGCGTCCGTCGAGGGGGAGGTTTCAAAATCACATGTGAGTTCGAGTTGCTTTTGGGGTGAGGGGGGCGCAGCGGTTGGAGAAGCGGAGCTTCATTGATGCAGGGCTGGAGGCAGTGGCGTCCGAGCTTTTGGTGAAACCAGGGCTGTGGCCTCTTGCAGCAACCCCAAACTGCCCGATGTTCGGCCCAGCGGCAGGGGCCTTTTGACCCTGCTGACTTCATAACCAACAGCAAGAGACAGCGAGTGCAAGAGTAGCAGGGACAGGAATATCCGCAGGGTAGTAGTGGTGGTAGTAGTAGTAGTAGTAGTAGCAGCAGCAGCAGCAGTAGTAGTAGTAGTAATAATAATAGTAGTAGTACGCGCGACGAGGCCCATCCGCGCCCGGACCAGCAAATTTTCCAGGTATGAGCTACATACAGTGCTACAGTCGACAGCTTTCCAGAACATTAATGGACATGGGTTCCTTATTAGGACTATATTGGGGACTATACTGAACTACAAGAGGGCTCCTGGCGTCCACGTATGAGTATGCAGTATAAGTTTGCCCGCTTGAAGCCTAAGCATCCACTCTGCTTCTCTGCTTGTTCTCAAGATCTGGCCTGTCGCCACATCCACTGGCTTGATGGGCAAGGTTGAGCGGACTAAGCCTCTGCAAGAGGGGTGAGGGCTTTCGCACGGCAAGTCAATCGACTCTTTTCTGACTGCTGTAGAAGCAGATAGTCTCAAACACACACAAACAAACCCGTTTGCTCAGACCTACTCCAAAATCCACAACCCTTCACAGCAGCTAAACAAGGTGATGCCTATCCGGCGCAGCATTGGCTGAGAGACAAATATCTGCGCGAAGCCCTGGGACAAAAAGGTCAACGGGGCTTTATCGTTGCAAGCCGCATGCAATGCTACACACTTCATGCGCATCTTGGCCACATCAAGCTTGCCAAGCTGTGGGACTGCCTGTCTGGCGGCTTGGGTGGTCGCCTCATGACATAGCCGCCTTGGTCACGCAGGCCGGGGATGCCAGGGATGATAAGTTAGCATCCTGACGCTTGCTAGTCTCCCTGCTGGCAGATACAAAACCAAGAGCAGTGGGCCCTTGCCTGGCTTGCTGCATGGCAGGCCCAGCGATGGTGACCTGAGCTCCACGTCTTCCAAAGCCCGATTTTCCAGCGTCCAGAACGTGACGCCTATGACTCGACTTCAGTTGATGCACTCACGAGGTCCCAGCATGAGGTCGCAGTTTTCCAAGGACCTCAAATCAAAAGCACCATATGGCATCATCCGGTTCTTTCTCGCCACATATGAACATACGTGTGTATATGTATATATCCTTAGCACTGAAATGGTCAGGTGACGAGGCGGTTGACGTTTCCCATCTGGATCCCAATGCCCAGGCTCAGCTGCGAGGCCTCCATCGCATGAGGCGAGTGAAACCATTCAAGTTGAACATCATTGGAAGGGCCCATTTTCTACAATTCGCAGCAACAATCTCGCCTGACCCGCCAATGAGAGCGCCGCCCTGGAGGGCAAAAAGATTTCATCCTGTTTTCTCTCGCGCTGGAACTACACATGTGTTT